CTTTAAATTACAAGATCATGCGCACAGCCTAAATGTATTGTCATGTACAGCATTTCAGCATGTACAGCATTTCATGTGGTTAAAATGAAAATTTGGTAAGATGTGATGTTTTTCAAGATTTTTAAAAATTCTTTTTTTTTTAATTAAAAATTTTAATTAAAAAAAACAAACAAACTTGGGGCCTTTCCTTTCTCTTCCCACTGAGCCTCACCCCACTCACCCCCATGTTTTCGACTGAGCCCCAGCCTTTTACAAGGACACAGGTGAATGCCACAGCCAGTTTCTGGCAAAAGGTAGATGTTTGGGGAGCAGTGCTGTCACCCCCCTCTTAAGGTGTCACCTGGTGCAGCCTGCACCCCCCTATTGATGCCCCTACTGCAGGCTTTAGTTTATTCTTGAACTGCTGCATGGTCTGGAGATGATGATGATGGTGATGATGATGATTTCTTAATTGCCTCTCCATAAGGCTTGAAGTAGAGTACAACATAAATTAAAACACATAAAACTATTTAAACACATTACATTAAAACACCTAGACATAGAATGGCCCTTGTGGTCTCTCCCAACTTTATGATTCTGTGATTCTAGGACACATTAAAATCATCCAAACATAAAAATTAAAAAATCATATTTTAAAAACTACTAGGTAGGCCTACTGGAAGAAATAGATCTTTAATGCTGTTTTAAATCCATACAGTATGTTTAGCTGTCAAGTCTCTCCTGGCAGGTCATTCCACAAACTAAGGGCCGCCCATGCAAATGTCCTCTGGATCTATGGGGTGAGTTATATGGGAGGAGGTGATCCTGTAGGTATCCTGGACCCAAACCATGTAGGACTTTAATGGTCGTAACCAACACTTTGTACCTTGCCCAGAAACTAGCTAATAGCCAGTGGAGTGATTTTAATATTGGTGTGATATCCTCACTCCTAGATAGCCAATGTGATGTAGTGATTTGACCATTCGACTATGACTCTAGAGGTCAGGTTTTGAATCCCTGCTCTGCTATGAAACTCCACTGCGTGACCTTGGGCAGGTCACACACTCTCAGCCTCAGAGGATGGCAATGACAAACCTCTGAAGAGACCTACCAAGAAAACCCTGTGATAGGGTTGCCGTAAGTCAGAAATGACTTGAGGGCATAGAGGAGCAAAAACAATTCTCACTCTTAGATACCTATGAAGAGCAATGTGTCCACAGTGGTCCTGTCCAAAGTTCTGGGCCTTGTTGTTGTTGTTGTTGTTGTTGTTGTTGTTGTGTGTCATTAAGTCAGTCCCAACTAATGGTGACCGCAAGGCTATAATGTTTGTTTTGGGTTTTGGGGTTTTTTTTTTGCAAGATTTGTTCAGAGAAGATTTGCCATTGCCTTCCCCTGAGGCTGAGAGAGTATGACTTGCCCAAGGTCACCCATTTAAAAAGGCAGTAAAGATGGATCTTTTTCAACAGGCCTTCCCGGAACATCTCCCTGGCTGATT